ACTCACTCACTCAACCAATCAATCAATCATTGAGCAATCAATTAATTACTCATGAAATCACTTATACAATTGATCAATCAGTCAATCAATCAATTGTTCGCTAAATCACTCAAAAAATCAATCAATCAATCAATCACAGAAACAATCAATCAATCAATCACTCACTCAGAAAATCATTTAATCAATCAATCACTGAAACAGTCAATCACTCACACAGTCAATCAATCAATCACTCAAACAATCCATCTCTCAAACAGTCAATCAATCACTCAAACAGTCAATCGATCACTCAAACAATCAATCAATCAATCACTCAAACAGTCAATCAATCACTGAAACAATCAATCACTCAAACAGTCAATCACTCAATCACTCAATCCATCTCTCAGTCAATCAATCACTCAAACAATCAATCAATCAATCAATCACTCAAACAGTCAATCAATCACTCAAACAATCAATCAATCAGTCAAACAATCAGTCAATCACTCAAACAATCAATCAATCTAACAGTCAATCAATCACTCAAACAATCAATCAATCACTGAGGCAATCAATCAATCGCTCAAAGAGTCAATCGATCAATCAATCACTGAAACAATCATTCAAACAATCAATCAATCAATGAAACAATCGCTCAAACAGTCAATCAATCAATCAATCACTGAAACAATCACGCAAACAGTCAATCAGTCACTCAAACAATCAATCAAGCGATCATACAATCATTCAATCACAATCAATCAATCACTCAAACAATCAATCAATCGATCACTCAAACAATCACTTTCAATCAATCAATCATACAATTAATCAATTACTGAAACAATCATACAATCAATCATACAATCAGTCAGTCAAAATATCAGTCCATAAATCAATCACTGAATCAATCAGTCACTCAAACAAGCAATCTATAAATCTCAATCATTCATGCCGATCACTCAGGCAATCAATAGGTCAATTAATCAATTGTTGAAAGAAGAGTGGTATAAGAGGAGCTCACTTGAATTATTTTATGTGTTGCAGTTAATGATTTACTAGGAATAAATTGTAAACCAATTGAAAACTAGAAGATAACGATTTACACGTGTAGTTGAAGTCACACTTTAACTGAGATCAAAAATGAACTAAATGTAACGTGCATACAGATGTGCGTATCAATAAGTTATCTGGCTGACATCTACAGTATGCTCTGTGCTACACAACCTACCCTGGTTCCTTTCCATTTCTCCGTTAAATGTGCATGAGATTTTGAAATGGTACTAGTCAATTGTCAAATACAAACCCTCCGTTTGGGTTTAATTTTACGTTTAATTACATGAACAATTGAATAATTATGAACAACCTGTCGTTGTGTGAGTACTTACAGCTGCCTGAAGTATCAGTTTGTCTCTGAGCTGTTTGAAAGAAATATATAAAAGTCAGTTCAACCAAACCTTAAAGGGGCTACGTCACGGTTTGCGCATATTGAAAAGTGTAGCCTCAATTTTTTAAATTCGTAGTTTGTAATCCGTGTTAATCTTCTGCATCCTTGGCTTGTTCCTTTATGGTTTATTATTATCTCTTTGGTGTTTTTATATCTTATTTAACTGTTAATAAGGGTAGGGAAATCTGTTATTTAGATGTTACTTGAACGGGAACTGAATAAATGAAACTTGCTTTTGGTTAACATTTCGTCAATTCTGGAAATGCTAGATGTTCTCCCTACCATTTAAAGGTAATTTTTTATGTGGCCAAAATAACTCAAAATACCGTGACTGAGCTCCTTTAAAAACTTGCAGCTAGTTTCAAGCGTGAGAAAGTCGGGGAACGTATGAAACTGATGTCAGGTACAGGATGATCCCTTAACTCTGACTTTACCTAATTCGGGGGGTTCTATTCAAAGTTCTGTACGAGGAAGCTCCGCCCCGAGGTCCAACCTCTTACCCTTTTGAATACCTTATACCAGAAAAGGTACCCCTTTCGTATATCTTTTATTGAAAAAAAGGTACCCATTTTCACGTACCTACTTGAAAACCCTACATCCCTTTTCTAGACCTTTGGAATGAAGTTAATGAACAGTAGAGAACATCTAGCATTTCCAGAATTGAAGAAATGTTAACCGATAGACAGGTTTCATTTATTCAGTTCCCGTTCAAGTAATATCTAAATAACAGATTTCCCTACCCTTTCATATACCTCAACTTGTGAAATCCCCCGAGCGGAGCCTCCCGGTAGCGTATAGGCCGTTACAGAGAGTACCCCCCAGGACCTAAACTGTGAAGTAATGGCTTCATTCACGCTGCTCTTTCGAATCAGTCAGCACACGTATGAAAGCAATTTTTATTTTGCAAATATTCGTATCAAAATATATATTAGAAAATTTGTCTCTAAATTAAAATATCATTTGAAATTAAAATTGAGAAATGAGGAACGAGAACTTACAAAACAACAGCTATTTATATTACCAGTTTGGAGAAGTTGATTTTTAACCCGGAATGAGGATAAAGAGAACTCACCCTGAAAACGAGGTTGAGACGTACTGCTTTCGACAATCCTTTGAAACATCTCTTCTGGCTTAGCCTGCAGAACAGGTAGTTAAGCGGGGTCCTTCTTAACTACCAATTGGCCATGAATTTGTTGCTAAGGAAGGTTTCTAACCATCGTATTTTGAAAACCAGACCTTCTAAGGATAAGCTTTTTTGCACAGGTTTGTTCCATTGAAGAATCCCTCAAGAGTATATTTGACCAGTCACGTGACCACAATAGAAAAAAACCTCTAAAACTTAAGAGGCATCTAATTCCCAAACTTTAAACCATTGTCAATAGATTAAGAACGTCCACGTGCTTAATGCTACGTATGGTTTTTATGAAACTCGCATTATCATAAAAGTTATGAAGTAATAAACACCCGTATCAACAGACTTTCTACAGTAGCTTTCCTTTTTTACGTGTGATCATAAAGAAGGCTAAGTTATTTCTGATTCATAAGAAAAATCGGAACTCTTCCTCTTTTCTTCCAAGTTTTAGGAATTTAAAATCGTAACGCGCGGTTTGGGACTGGCACTAGTTACGTACGCGAAATCATATTTTTTCAAAGCAAACTTTCCCTTATAAAATTCACCATTTACAGCACTGCAAAACGCCTTAAAATAGCCTTCCTCCAAATATCGCCCTCAGCAATCCCTTAGCAACTGCTCGACATCTGTACCGTAACCTTCTGAAAGTAACCACCCCCGGAAAGTAACGTCAAAAAATTGTGGTCGCTAATAAATCCCGAAAGTAGCAACCCGCCCCCCACCACCACCACCACCACCCTACTGCCCGAGGTTCAGTTCAATACTAAGGCTCAGTAGTATATTTTTTCTCAATCAATAGTCAGGTGAATGTTACTCTACGTAGCTTGATTTGAACCACTGTACAATAGGGGAAGGTATCGTTTGTGAAGCGAAGCGTTGTGAAATGTCCATTCGCCTTCGTCAGTTCATGTTGCGCCTTGTTAAAACGAAGCCCGTGGAATTTTCATCAAAAGGAACGAACTAACAGGAACTGTTCTTTAAATTAACACTGAAAACTCTGTATCATTTTCATCAGGAGTGTCTTAAAAGGAACGTTGCTTCAAATTGAAATTGAAATCTCCACCAACGCACTGAGATATTGTCAAAGTAGACTAACATAGCAGTGCTTTATGAAGTAGAAACGATTTACGGTATCTGAGTAGTTTTCCTGCCGACCACTGACAACGCGGTTTACGCGTGCAGATCCCACCCATAGCTACCCGTGCGGCAGCAGCATAGACTTGAGGTGGCTCCCTATAGTTTTATGATTGCACGCGCGCATAGGACGAAAGCTCAAGTAATCTGCGCGTGCTGAAAGGAAAACTTAGAAATCCTTCGTTTATTGTTGGGAAGGCTCATCGATGCATCAGAGTGACTTTTGGTCCTGTTAATTTTCGATGAATCGCTAAACAATCGCGTAACATTCGATGTTGAGCTTCAATTGGGATTAACTTCTGAATCCCATGAACGAGAATAAAGGGCGCATATCTGGTTGACTGAATCGTGTGCCTGCTCGGGCAAAGGGCCCTACAACTTGTGATCATCTCTCGGCTTTCGCTATCAGTCCTGAAATTACTCACTAGCAGGAAGACTTTTCATTCGCAGGACCACTCGTTTTCAAAACCGAAAGCTCTTAGAATGGATAAACACCTGGATTTCAATATCTACTTACAGCTACTTACGGCCTTCAGGCAAATTTATGAAAGAAATTCGAGTAAAATCGACTTAAACTTGAAGAGAATGCATAGAGCGGCTCTAGACTGAAACAGAAAGCATAAATTGATCTAAGGTAAGTACGTTCACGCGAAAATTGAATTGATTCCGCAAGAGGTGGTCAGGGAACTGAATATTAAATGAGGAAGTAAGTATTCGCACGGCACTTGTACGTGCGACTCCAATGTGCTATTTGTACGGTGGTCCACAATTCTCTTTGAATTTCTATGAAATAACTTACGTTTTCTGATCCAAAACATTGTGTGTCTGATTAGATTCATGCAGTGAGCGAGTCAATTTGATTCACAATAATTTGCCTCATCTATGTGTAATACGCGAACAGCTCCTTTCGCGCATTTTACAAAGCTGAACTCACGAAAATATTAACAACCTTTCGTTTATTAAATACGGTCTTTTACGGGAAGAATTTCACTTGAAGAAGGTGGGTCATCATTCGGGAGAAGAATTTCTAACAACTTTTAAACATCGACACAGTCTATCGAATT